AAATTATCGTATATTATTATTATTATTATTATGACGGTCGATGGAAGCGGTTCCTTCCTTGCAATATAGAAAACGCAAAAATGGTCCTTTTCAGGGCCACACCCCATTGAAATTGTTAGCTCCCCCCCCCCCGGGCAATTTTGGAATGTGCCTCACTTGCACTCAATTGTCGTTAGCAATATTGATTTTCAGATCGGCTGACTTTAAACTTAAACTGCTCCAATTGAACAATACCCAGTAATGAAACATCTAGTCGAAGACGGTCTTAAACTGCTAGTAAGTGAATATATTTCAGTTATGTTGAATGTTGTCTTTGTTCAAAATAGCCGAGAATTCAGTCAGTTATATGCCATGCGTGATACACGCTTAGGCGATTTTTTTCCCACAGTAGGTTGCCATTTCTTTCTGCGGTAGACAAGTTGCCATCCAAGGCTATAGAACCCGATCTGTCCTGCTATTTACTCATAGACGGGGAGAGAAGAAAGGGATTCATACCTTACCCAAGTATATTAGCACATAAGTGAATGTAATAGACTCGACTGGAATTCGAACTCGGCTCTCCGATTCCTCAATCCGAGCCAATATCCATTGCTCCATAGTGCTTCCTCTGCCAAGAATTGAGAAGGCCGTAGTTAGAGAGAGAGAATCGAAGTGTGAGAAGATTCGGTAGAGGAAAAAGAAGGATTAGGTTTATTAAATGTACATAAAACGGTATAGGACATTAACTCTTATATTTTTACGGTCAGTAAGTGAAACATAAAACTCGTATGAGACGACTTCTAGTAAATCTTACTAAATTCAATAGATAGGAAAAACTTTTACAATTCTCTACAAAACGGAACAGTCAACGCGCGAGTCAGCGATGATCTTTCTACATACAAAGCCACGACGAAAGTAAGTTCTTGATCCCCTTCTCTTTGTTCACTGTGTTTTGAAATCACTGCTATCGCACACAACCAGTCAGTAGTCACACGCATGTTTCATTGGCGTGTGCTTCACGCACAGACATACACGCACACGCACACAAACACACACATATATATATATATAGGCGTACATATAATTTCGAACATTGCAGACTCACTTGCAACAAAATAACTTCGAAGTTTGCAGACTCACTTGCGACAAAATGATTTCGAACTTTGCAGACCCACTTACAAGAATTTACTTTAAACACTGGAATTATTGGTCTCTTCATGGCCATAAAAAAACAAAAAAACAATTGAATTCTAATATGTAAAAACATGTATTTACTGTATAAATGATATCGTCATATTTAACTTGGTCTTTTTCCTTTTCTGCGAAGATCATTTCTTTGCGTTGTTTATTATTTTGTATTGTAATTTGTGTACATTACAGTGGGATTTTATTTTTACACCTAAAATCCAGGTAGACTACCCCTACAGGTTTGAACAAGCGTAGGAAATATGTAATACACGTATTCCATTGGCGTGTGCTTCACACACGCACACGCATAAATATTGGCGTACATATAACTTCGAACTTTGCAGACTCACTTGCAACAATTCACGTTGGACACTTGAACTACTGGTCTTTTTATGGCCCCAACAAAGACAATTGAATTCTAATATATAAATAGATGTTATCTACTATATAACTGTTATTGTCATATTTATTTTGGTCTTCTTTCTATTCTGAAAAGATCAATTCTTCGCGTCGTTTATTATTTTGTATTGTAACTTGTGGACATTAAACTCGGATTTTATTTTTCCACCTAAAATCCGGGTAGACGGATAATTTGAGGAAATCAAAAATTACTCAACGGAATAATAAATTACGTAACGGAATAATTTGAGGAAATCAAAAATTACTCAAATCTTTCTCTAATGTGGTTAGTTGCCATGTTTATAAGTAGAATCAATCCATTGTCACAGTAGTAAGGAAGAGCAGGAACTATACTTTAGAACAAGTGAATAAATCTGAAATGAAAATTTTTATTCTAAAATATCCGAGAAAAACCTTCTCTGTGTTCGATAAAGAAACTGTTATGGACTGGAAATACCTGCATTGGAAGATATCACACCATTATAAACTTGCTCATGTAGAAACAAACTGAACACAACCCACCATCATTTTTTCAAATGTTACAGTGCTTTGGAAATTCACCAGACATAGCAACCGCATTTTACAAGCCAATAGAACAGTTATGACAGTAAAGTTCCTCTTTTATAGAAATGGCTATACTGTCTGATAAAATAATATCAGTAAAAGCATTTAACACCTTTTGATTGTTCTCTCCTCAACTGAAATGGGAGAAGAATTTCGATCCTGGGGATTCCAGTCCTGTGGCAGCACCTTCCCCATTGTGTGGTCAGTGCTATATTGACGCCAGCGTGATAGTGGTCACGGTGATTTGTTGTTGACCCATATGAATATTCATGTGTTAAAAACGACCTTGTGCCCCAACCTGCCGTAATGGGGATGCCAGGTAAGTATTGTCAGAATGTGACAGATGTGAAGAAGGCTGAATGTGACAGAAAGTTGGGAAACCAACACACGTACGTCTGCATATGGTCCAGGGCAAAAGTGGGTAGGTTAGATATACCTATTCAAAAACAACGTCCTCCGCACTAAGGCAGGATATAACACTGGATCGTTTTTTTTTTACGTGGCGGGCGCCATACATATACGTATGCATATGAACCAAAACAAACATTTTTTGCCCAAACTCCGCAACTACTGTCACGCTAGCATTCGATATTATACCGACCCTACCTCTTAATTGCAATGAAGAAAGTGCTGCCTTAAGTTTGGAATCCCTGGAACCGGATCTCTTCTTCCCAATCTAAATTGAGGAGAAGCATTTACACCAAAAATTAACTCTTGTGTCATGTCGTATTGTAGTAATAACGAGCATTTACAACATAATCGGTGGTATTTGATTTTAATTCAAATTTTAAACGTGCATTAAAAACATTTCATCAGTTTTATTTATTTCTAATTCTAATTTTGTAAATTGGTGCACATAAACAATGTTTCTTTCGATAAAATTTATTTTTTAAATTCATTATTTTTGTATAGAAACAAATTACATCTGCCTTGTCAAAATTCACTCGTAAATTAGCAACAAACATATTGTTAGCCTTTGAAGAAACGTATAATACATGTAATATTGGCTTCTAAATATTAGTGAATAGAACAAATTTCAATTTCATTTTAACAGGGTTTGAGTGGAAAAGACGTAAATAAAATAAATATTTTTTCGAATTTAACAGAAGAAAAATATTTAAATAAATAAAACTAATCTGTTTTTAAATTAATTTTATCATTATAGTTTATAAATAAAATTTAAAAAAGTTATTTAAATATACTATCTTTTTTTCAATTCACCTCAAGCAAGGTGATAACGCCACTAAGACTCAAGGGGTGGTGGTGAAAGATATTTAAATAATTTTGGGAGGAACCGGAAACTCGATCCTAAACAGGCATTAAGGGACGAACCTCAACTACTGTTCAAAATACCGGAGAGGAGTGTGAACTGGGCAATAGACGAACTTATCTACTCCTATTAAATGTATGTTGATGAATTAATTTTTGTTATTAATTGATTAATGCATTATTTAAATATACAGGATATTAATTTCATTTTAATTGGTTTTAACTGAAAAAGATGCAAATAAAGTAAATAAATCTTTCGTATTTAATTGAAAAAAAAGATTTAATATATTTAAAATAAAATATCTCCACACATTGTGTCTCAAAGAAGATACACTCGTTCGTTGTTCTTCTCGACAATTTTGTTTCGGCTAATGGCAGTTGCAGTTGGACATGGTATATTGTTAAATGTTTCAAGAGAACAGTTATTTATGTTGCCATTACTTTTGGAACACATAAAGGGAAAACTTTATTTATCCTAAGAAAATCCATTTCACCAAGGGATCAGCCACTGCCATTCCAAATATAATGGAGTCAATTTGCTGTCGAAGCATCATTTGCTCGTACAAGTCACAAAATTCGAGACTAAACCCTTTCAAAATTTAATATCTTCCTCAAGAAAAACGAACGTTTCTCTCATAACCATCTCTCTATAGTTACGTCTACAACAGGAAAAACTAATGGACTATAAATATATATATTATAAATACTATAGGAAATAAATCTCTTGTTGAAAATGTTGTACAGATATTTTTATAGAGATAAGAAAGATTCTATTACAATTTATTTTCTCTGTTCGTAGGCAGGGTATTCAGCTAGTACTAATAAACTCGAATATCTTACTGATGTTAAATTCTGACCCCCAAATTACTTCAATGAAATTTTTCCTCCTCGACTAACAAGATTATATGTAACCAAATTACGATCTTTAACATTTTAAACTGACTAAAACTTTGATGTGAGAAAAAACTTTTCCTTTTTTCCTTTTTTTTTCTTAGAAGTGGATACAAACGTTACCATTTAAGTTCTTTTGTTCCCGCCAAAAACAGGAAAAATACAATCAGTTGATGGTCTTTGAAATGGTAAAGATAAATAAGTAAAAAGGTAAGTGAAGAAAAAAAAATTAGGAAATGGCGGAAATTGTTGAAGTATAAAATCTCAATAGCAACATAAGAAAAAGAAACGACAATAAGGAAAAGATTTCTTTAATAAGAACGATCGCTTTCGATCTTTGCTTCCCTTGCCTCGTATTTCTCCAGCCTCTAAAAGCCGACCTAGAAGAAAGTCTCCATGATAAATGTTTGAATTGTAAACAAGGTTAAATTTGCGTGTTTTTCAATCTCATAAGACATTAAAAAAAAACAAACTGTTCCAACCAATCTTACAACGACTTAAAGAAAGACTTTTCTCGCATCAGGTAAACAACATAAATTCACTATTTTTGATTTGTAGAACATATTTTTTAAATATTATGTAACTGTTTGACATTATTAATCCTTGTATTCATATTTCGTTTATAGCCGAAACCATGCAGACATTGTTTCTGATCTATTCGTTTTTTTTTTAACTTTTCTTTTTTCCCCATTCATTCCGACTCATATCTTATGTTACTCTTTTCTTTTCTTTCCTTTTTACTTTCCTTTTTTTTCTTATCCTCCTTTTTTTTTATTTTCTTCTTTTTAATTTCCTTTTCCTTTTTCCTCCGAATTCTGCCTTTTGTTTCTCTTTTTTTATCCCGTCTTTTTGTTTCCTTTGCCAAATTATTTCCATTTCTTTCTTTCTTTCGTTCTTTCTTTCTTTCTTTCTTTCTTTCTTTCTTTCTTTCTTTCTTTCTTTCCATAGTTCATATACTTTGCTTTCCTCTTCTTTTTCTATTTCTCTCTTTCTTTTTCTGTTTTTCTTTATTTTTCATTAAAATCTTTTTCTTTCTTTCTTTTCGTTCTTTCTTTCTTTCTTTCTTTCTTTCTTTCTTTCTTTCTTTCTTTCTTTTAGTTCATATACTTTGTTTCACCTTTTGTTTCTATTTCTCTCTTTCTCGTACTCATATTAACTGCACTTCCCTCTCATTTCCATAGTTCAGGTCTCATTTGTTCTTTCCTTAGATTTCCAGTTCTCATTATGTACGTCATTTACATTTCGATTAATGTTCTAATCATTTCTGTTATTCTCACAACATTTCGACTATTGTCCACTTCAGGACTTCTTCAGGTGTTTGTGGGACCGAGTAATATTTAGGGAATTTCCAAATGAACCCTACGGCGTAGATTTTCATGTCTATGTCTACAGATATCTAGTCTTATTTTTTCTATCACTTCCTTTTATAAAGACATGAATAGTAGAACAAGAACAGTCTACTCCTGTAGATTAAATAAAGGGTTCAGTTTGAAATTCCCTGATGGTTATCCGGCCGAAGCGTCGTTATACTGAGAGTAAAAATTAAGGCCTTAGTCCGACTGTAAATAATGTAAATGATGAATAATTCTCATGCCAGGAATTCAGAAAGTTACTTTTCGTTTTTCTCTTTTGTTTATTCACGCGTCGCTTTTTCTTATTTTTTCGTTGTTTTATTTCGTTTTTTCTTCTCTTTCTCTTTTTCTTCTTTTCTTTTTTCTTCTCACACTGTGTCTTTTTCTTCTTTCGCTTTCCTTTTTTTCTTTCTTTTTCTTTTTCCTCTTTTCTTTTTCGTTGTTTTATTTCGTTTTTTCTTCTCTTTCTCTTTTTCTTCTTTTCTTTTTTCTTCTCATTCTGTGTCTTTTTCTTCTTTCGCTTTCCTTTTTTCTTCTTTCTTTTTCTTTTTCCTCTTTCTTTTTTCCTTCTTTTTCATTTTTCTTCTTTCTCTTTTTCTTCTTTCTCTTTTCTTCTTTTTTTTCTATCTTTTTCTTCTTACTCTTTGTCTTTTTCTTCATTCTCTTTTTCTTTTGCTTGTCTTTTTCTTTTTTCTTTTTCTTTTTCCTCTTTCTTTTTTCCTTCTTTTTTTCTTTTTCTTCTTTCTCTTTTTCCTCTTTTCTTTTCCATTTTTTCTGTCTCTTTTTCTTTCTTTTTCTTCTTTCTCTTTTTCCTCTTTTCTTTTTCTTTTTTCTGTCTCTTTTTCTTTCTTTTTCCTCTCTCTCTTTTTTCTTCTTTTTCTTTTTTCTCTTTTTTCTTCTTTCTCTATCATTTCTCTCATATTGTATTCTTCTTTTCTTATGCCATTATTTCTCCGCATCCCTTGTCCCCAAAAGACTTTTTCATTTTCTTTCTTTCTTCATTTTTCTCACTTTCCTCCACTCCTTTTCTTCATTCTACGTTTAAACCTTTTATTTTCTTTTTCTTTTCTTGTTTTTTTATTCGTTCTTTTTTTACTTTCCTATTCATTCTTTCTTTCTTTCTTTCTTCTTTTTTTTCTCCTCCTCCTCTATACTTTCTTCATTACTTTCTTCTCTCACCCCGTTCCTTATTTTTCTTCCTCATTTCTTCTCTTTCTTTTTTTGTTTTCGACTCCCTTCCTAACTTTTCTCTCCTCTTTCTATCCATTGCTTTCATACTTCTTTATTTCTTTTTCTTTCTATCACCCCTAGCCTGCGTTTTCCTTTCTCTCTTCTCATCTTTCCTTTCATTATTTCTTTCCTTTCTTATTTCTTTTTTCTTCCTTTGCCTTTTTTTTTCACTACCTTTCTTTATCCTCTCTACCGATTTCATTTTCTTTTCTTTCTTTTATTTTCCAAACTTTTATTTCCCGTTTTCATTTCCTTGTTTTCTCTTCCGTCTAACTTTTCGCCTTTCCTTTTTTTTTTTTTTTTGGTTTCTTGGATTCTTTTTCTTCTCTCCGATAAAAAGATCACAAGTATCGAACAATGACCCAGAAAATACAATCACTGAAATGCCAACTCATTCGGTCGTAGACTCCTTTTCAAACGGGCACAATCAAAAGTTATCTCCACTCGACATCTGTTTCTTCCTGTCAGTCTTTGAGAATCAATGCTTTTAGCAATACGCGTGTTTCAACCAAAGTTGCTTACTTATACTATGGCATCCATTTTTGGTAATCTTGGCACACAAAGAAACTTGTGCCAAACCTTGACTAGTCCAAATGTTCTTAAACTTGTTTTGTTGTATTCGGCACAGGTGAAGGTAACGTAGCGGACATTGTCGCAGAAAGTGAAATCGGCGATTCGAATTCAAATTCCTATATATGCTCTGACGAAAGGGAACCTCGAAGTGGCGTAAAGGTTAGCAAGCTTGTCTTGCTAGAACAATTACGACTGAATATTGAGTTCGATTCTCACTGGGCACCCCCTAATTTCGGCCTAAGCTATGCTTGGAAAATCAATATGCTTTTCCGAAATGCAGGATACCCTCTCTTCTCAACATAATTGTCTACTGCTAAAAAATGCAGTAGACTGGTCTCTTTATTCTTCAATGGCAGCCCGTCTAGGAGAAGGATAATTCAGTATTCAAATACGTCAGGAAAAGCAACAGGATAATATTTCACTATCTTTACCAAGACGTCATGTTAATTCACAGACAAAAAAAAACAAAAAAAAAAAAACAGAATACGTGGAGAGGTCTGATTGCCTCCGTTCTGAAGAGATATGCTATTGACTGCCAACCACGAGTTAACTCGTTTGTGGAAGACAATACTATGACCTTTTTATTATGTCACCGACGACGAATTATCTCGTGCTTTCATTTTTCTGATACATTTTTTTCTACTCCGACTACCACAGCAACCAACTTATATTGCATTTAGTCCTGTGAGAAATTTTATTTTATTTCTCGCCATAAACAGCTATTCATCTTACATTTTAAAAAGTTGACAAGGGGCAACTGAGCTTAATTTTTAACGAAATGAGATAAGAAAATCGAACAACGATGAGGTCGTAAGGAAAATAGGAACAACAGAAATTTAATATTTACTGTTAGAAAGAGACTGTTCGAAATTTACGGATACATAATGAAAAAGAAAAGTCTGAAGAATCTAAAACTCTTGGTGCATATCGTAGGCAAGTGAAGCAGGGTGAACTGCCAGTAAGCTACTTTTACGAGATTGAGTCGGTGAATAGCAAAACAAGGGAAGAGAGACATAGTAAAATGGATAAAAGGTTTTTAGAGTAACAAAATAATTGTGGAGAGATTTTCAGTGCCCTGAAGGAACCCGTCACATCGATAAAGAAGATTATACTTACGAACATTACAGCAAATGTTTCTTTTGAAAGAAATTAGATGAACTCACCTGTAAAAGAATAGTGAGATATGTAAAAGTTTAGCGAGATATTGAGAACAATGATATTTATATAAATGATTAATGTTAAGAATCGACGACATAATCAAAATAATTACACCAGTACTACACTTACGCCAAGATCTCATCAATTTACAGTTGAATTGACGAGACAGAGCCGCAAGTTCTATGCTAACAGTTTGTTTTCTCACACTTCTCGCTTGTGGAACTGCCTTCTGGTTCCATGCTTTCCAGACAACTTTAATCTTCAAAAATTTAAATGCAATGTCAATTGCTATCTACTCTCCTCCTGATTACTCTTCTTTTGTTCTCGTTATTTTTTTTAAAGCATTACGCCCCGAGCAAGGCGGGAAGCCACTAGGATGCAGGGGTTTGCAGAAGATTTGGAGCAAGAGCAGATAGGAGTGATAGAAGAAAGGATGAGGAGAAGGATAGTGGATAGATCAAGGTAATTGGAGATGTCGATTGACATTACATTTGAATAGTTGGCGATTATAGCTCTCAGGGGAACAGTAATAGGGAAGGGTGTGCCACAGGCGAGAGGTGCGAGATATGAAGCTATTGGAGTAGAGGTGCGAGAATATTTCTGTTTTCTAATTCTTTCACACCCAGTAACCCTTTGTGTCTTAATGGCTTTACTGCCTGGCTTAGAGTGAAATCGTTTAAACAATATATAATGACCCGGCTCAAGATTTACATAAAGTGTTGAATAGATATTTTTCTATCATGCGATAAAAAAATAAAGGTATTTTTAAAGATCATAGAGAATCAATTGTAACTTCCATCAACACGGCTGATGCTAACCACCAGGATAGCAACGCATTGCGTCTTCTTCAATTCATGTTTTCCACTGACATGAAGTGCGATGATTATATTGAATCAATTGCTAGGTCTGCTGCTAGGAAAGTTAGTTCACTGCATCGTGCCCGATTATTATTCTTTTCATTGTACACTTAATGAAGAAAGAATATTTGGAGAATCTAACTTTCTGTTGTACCATACCTACGGACGATAATTCACATAAAATAGTAAATACTGTATGTTGATCTGCAGTCGGAGATTCGTCTCCAGCTGTGCTGGTCAAACTCTCTCCCTCTGGGCAGAGAGGATCCTCAGACGAGGCTATGTCGAAGGGCAGAGTTTCGTCTCGGGAAACAGCTACCCGACCCCGTTTTATACGGGGTATACGGGGAATTTTGGGCCGAGCCTACGGGATCGAATGCCCCACATTAAATTCGGCCCTGTGCCACATCTGACCGCATGAGGTGGTTGGTAGATATCCTGTAGTTGGAGATTCATTGTGGAATTCACTTGACTCACTTCTAGCAGTTGACCACTTCTACGCGACTCTGGCGAATCTTATATGTGTTGTTCTTGTCCTAAGTATTATCATTCATTACCAACCTTTGATTATTCAAAACAGAGAGAGAGAGAGAGAGAGAGAGAGAGAGAGAGAGAGAGAGAGAGAGGACGCAAGCACGTTTAGCCTTCCAATTAGTGGCACTCACTACTAGATTGGCCTGTGTGTATAACTGTACCGTATTACATATTGTACTGGTTGTGTACAATAAACCTTTCTTCTATTATCCACCTGATGTTAAGTATTTATTCACTTAGTACGGAATATAACAGTTCCGACGAGGATTGTCGGAACATAACAAAATTTCAACTGCTTTTTCCTGATGTTAAGTATAAGTCTCCTTTTTGATTCCATTTTCTCTAAAACTTCATCGTTACTTACATGTCCATAGTATTCTCAGCATCTTTCTGCTAGAAGCATATTTCTCTTGTTCATCTGTGAAGAGATTGTCCAAACATTCACTGTCATATCGAAGGATTGGTATTACATAACAGTTCAGTTCTCTTTTCTTTGCTTCTAATGAAATTTTCCTATTTCTTAATATTTTGCTTCGCTTTTTGATTCTTATTCCCAAAGAGAAAAAGACATTGTAACCTAGGGATGTTAGAATCTCAACGCTGGTATCTCGGTATATTGGAATATAGGTATGTTAGAATCTGTTGAATCTGTGAACATTGGAATTCAGTTATATCAGAATATCGGTACGTTGGAATCTATAAATATTGATTTTTTTTGGTTTGGTTTTGTTTTGTTTTACGGCATATCATCCTCAATGGGTTGTTTAATGTCGACAAAATTTTTATTGTTGGTAATATTTTTTTTTCAAAACTTTATTTTTGGCAATATTTTTCATTCAAATATGTATTGCTGGTAGTATTTTTTTTCAAAAACATATTGATGGTATTAATTTTTTTTTACAAATATTTCTGGTATTAAAACCTATATTTACACTTTCATAGTGTTTTGACTCCTGTTTGTGGGTTAATTATTTTTCCATAGCTGGGACCCTAACAGGTGCTACCACCTCGGGTCAGGGTAGATCTGGGAAAACCAGCAATTAAGAGGGGGTTCCATGCTCCTCAAAACCTCTGATCACAGGCCTTGCTGTTGGATGTAGCTTATAGTCTTACCCAGGACGCGGATGTAGTTTATCATCATACCCAGGACGGTATTAATATTGGAATATTAGAAGTTTGGAAACTGTGTTACGTTCAAACCTGAGTACATTAGAATATTTGTATTTTGTAAAGACGGTGTGTTGGCATCAAGTGGTGGCATAGCGGTCATCAGCAACAAAAGTTCGGAACTGGCGAACTAACTTCAGCATCCGATTAAAACTTTAACAGGTCATATTTCTTGTCCGTACAGGTTTGCTAACTATCCTGCTTCACATCTTATGCAGAGGAGCAGGGTAAACCGGTGTAAATTCTGCAACTTAAAGAGGGTGGGAGAAACTAGCAGTTACAATACATAGTGAAGACAAGATGGCCGGGCGGGTACAAAGAGCAACATCGATCACCCTATTTGACGGGATTGTGGAAATAGATAGTTGAAAAGGGATTGGGAAGGATAGTGAAGTCGGGGAGAGACGTGACCCCCACGTCCTGAAGGGACACGGTGATTAAAGAAGTTATTAATTAGGTTCAGATGAAACGATCGGAAACACACAGGCACACACACACACACACACACACACACACACACACACACACACACACACACACACACAGATATTTATATATAGATAAATCGCTTAGAGTTCCGGATACATTTTATGTGGAAACGTGCGTTTATAGATATTGACAGTGTGGACATTAGAATCAAAACAACACAGCGACTGTCAGTTTCAATCTTCAAAGTGATTTTCAAACAAAACTGAAGATCACACTGAACCGCAAACTGACAGTCACCATGCAGAGTTGAGTCTTACGTCCATTCTGACTGTCTTTCTCTCCGTATCTATCTATCTATCTATCTATCTATCTATCTATTAGGTAACATGAATTAAATCCGACAAATATTTTAATATTTTTCTGTTTATACGTTATTTTTATGGATACTAATTATTTGAGTAAATGCACTGTTTTAATTAATCAGTAATAATTACATTTACCGGTCTGAATGTTCGAGAATTTCTTATTTTGAACTTTGCTAACCGGAAAGTTCTCTGTGGCTGATGGGTTAACAGCACTTTATTAGTTTACATTTGATACGCCGTGAGCAGATATGAATGTACGTGAGCGATTCATGGAAGATTGAAGTTTAAATACAGTAAATTCGACCTTGCTAACCGAACGCGCCTCTATGGCCAAATCGGTAAAGGCACGTCATGCTAAATGACGGTTCTGTATAGGATACAGGATCGAATCCTGTCGGAGGACGAATATTTTCTGTGAAGATTTCTCGGACATTCAGGCCGGTAAATGTTGCTCAATACTGTTTATTATAAACAGGGCATTTACTTAAATATTTGTATCTATAAAAAGAATGTATAAACCTAAAATGTCTTAAAAATAATTGTCGGACTTTGTCCATTTCATAATGTGTGACGTCATATATATAGTACAAAAGGCTCAGACACTAATATTCCATGGTTATAATTTATTACATTGGAATCGTAATCACGATCCAATTCATCAGATCTACAAATTCAAAAATAATTTTCTTTTTCAGGATTTCTTTTGAATTTGTAGGTCTATTAGCTATATTAGCCTTTTATATTATATTTTTACTCTGTCCTGGACATTGAGTTCTACCTGGATTCTATCCTCTTGTGAATTTATATATATATATATATATATATATATATATTGAACAGTAATACTATCTATCTATCTATCTATCTGATATATCCGGGAAGGGACATATTTGAACGAAGTAGCTAAGTGGCTTGGGCTACTATAACCAAGTAGAATACGGTAGCAGTAATCGACTGGTACGCGTCGTAGTCGCAGGTAAGAAGTGTAGATCAATGGTGTAGTCCAATGGGCATCGTTATCGACTTAGCTCTCAGACTAAGGCTCTTGACTCTCCTACACGTCCGTCGGTATTTATGACGGACACCAGCCAATCATATTCCAGTGAGGGGGGAACATAGGTGTATGCATATTCCATTATATCACTATCTATCGAGAATATATATATATATATATATATATATATGAAAGGAAGTATTAATCTGTATAAAATTTAACGTGTTACCAGGAATTAATAAATGAACTGCGAGCCAACATCAATATATTTTATCCCGACATTCTGTCACCTTTTCACCATAAATTAAAATATATTTCTATCTTTTTCATTATAATAAGTACACGACGTAGATATCGACAATTCATAATCAGAGCTGGATTAATCCTAATCTAATCGCTGTTAAGGTCGTTCATTTTCTTTTGAAATTTTTGAAACCTACTTGTCATTTTCCTCTCGCCTCTTCACTGTCCCTCTGGACATATTTCAAATATCGATTGATAAAAGTCGGTAGTTGTTTGTTACTTTGTGATTTATGTATTTCGAAATCATTAACATTTGTCTTTGTTAATACACCGATGGCATTTTGGACTTTTGATGGCTGATGATTGCGCCTTTAGGTGCACTTGAAAGTAATAGTTGGATGGACGACCATTATGACAACACTATTTCGAAACTAGTATATATATATATGCGTGTGTGTATTGCTTAATCATTAATTAGGATCGTTGATTAACCACAAGTACTGAAACCGTAACAACAGTCTGTCAAGGGCAAGTTAACCAGATGGAAACGATCCCACGTCAGAATGGTAGTTTTCTAAACGATGGTTAGATGTGGGACAAGAATTAGAATATGGGGCACTTAGTGAGAATCGAACTCACAACTCAGTCGTAATTGATCTAGCGAGAAAATCTTACCTACCATTACCCCACATTGAAGTGATCCCCTCTTCAGGATGATTTCGAGTTCTGAGTTTTCCTTCTCCCAGGCTGGTTGCCACTCAAGATACAGTAGATGAGATCGATTCAGACCTTTCCCGGTGTAATTGTGCAAAAGTCAACGCATCGACCTTGACTGGAATTTGGACCTGGTTAGGCAATTCTACGTCGACAATTACAACGCTATGCACACATCTGAACAGATTGTGTGTTACCTTCAAATATGATTAAACCGAAATAAGTAACAGCTGCTGATCCCCTTGCTGGAAAGGCCAAAATGCTGTCAGTGTATTAACAAGCGCAAATGTCAATGATTTCGAAATGTGTGAATCACAGAGTAACAAACAATTATTGATTTTTATCAATTGTTATTTGAAATAGTGTCCAGGAGTGGCAGTGAAGAGGCGGGAGAAAAAGCGGGTTTCAAAGATTGCAAAAGAAAATGAACGGCCTTAACAACTATTAGAATAGAATAAATGCAATCATGATTATGAATTGGCGAGATCTACGTCTTGTCTTTTCCAAAATCGAAAAAAGTAAAAGAATTTTTAAAAAATAGGTGAAAAGTGAGAGGAAGTCGGGATAAAATTTACTGTTGTTGGCTCGCGGTTCATTCATTAATTCTTGGCAATCCATTGTCCATCTTTCTTTGTTTTTACTTGGTTTAGTTTAGAGAATAGGAAAGAATACTATTTGACGCTTGTCTCTACTGTGTCCGGTCGAAAGCATATGAACTGCGTGGTGGTAGCTGATAAAATATGTTCGTGAAACCATCTTTATTAGTCTTCTTGAACAGTCACTTTGGCCGTTGAATGTTTCGTCCATTTCTAATTTAATCTAAAGGATGTGAATTAAACGTAAGTACATATTACACGACAAAGAGACATTTACTTTTACCGTTGGCAACGTAAGTGGTATCGTATTAGTTATTATTACAGATATAGGAACATAATGCTAGATGTCGCTTCTCTTTGAAATATGGACATAAAACCTCGGGAGGGAGCATTCCAAAAGCTAAAAAGTATTACAATTTTAAAACTTATTAGCTCAATTAAAATTCTCTTTCGCCTTCCAATTGAAACTGTGATTTCTTGAACAAATATTCGTAGCCGTATGATAGAAATACAAGATGCGTTATGTAAATTGTCGCTATTTTATAGTTGTAATTTTGCGCATGCGCGTTGTTTGTTTTTGATTTTGTCGACTGCGCAGTATAGTAGGGTCAGTTGGTCATCATCAGTGAGAAAAAGAGCATTATGATATTATTCACTTCGCTAGAAATGCGGAAACTGCATGCTGTACTGTTTGGCATTCGCGCCGGAATCTGCAATACGAACATTTCAGAGTATTTGCGTATCAATCTAAAGACAGGGCAGAGGATTTGGAAAGAATTGGATGAATGTAATGGTGATTACGAAGGTACTGCAGCTCGGAAAACTTACTCTGATTGTTTTGATAAGAAAAGAACTCCTGCATTTGTTGGTGAGGGTCTCAGACTCATCGCCGAGACCTACATCAAGTGCCTTGAGGAGATAGTACAGCCCTGGGTCAAGAGGGTGGGTATTGGAAGACCCTGTGTCTGACAATAGGATTCTGCACCATGCCACACAAGCAGGAGAAAACAGTCATGGCTGTCAGACAATTTCTTCGACCACATCGTCCCTTACAGCTGACTACCTAACTCCCCAGACTGCAACCCCCTTTTGTTACTATTTGTGGGGCTCAGTTGAGCGAGAGACCACCAAAAATACTTGTAACACCAAAGATGAAATGAAGGCAAGGATTATGGCAGCATTTATTAACTTAGAGACGATCAAGAAGAGTTGCAGGAGATTCCGAAGTCGACAGGAGGCCGTGGTTGAAACTAATGGCGATCTTATTGAATAAACTTTTCTTTTGTATTTCAATATATGTTTGTGCAATTTTGATAAATATATCTGTTAAAATGAGATGCCAGTATCATTTTTGCGTACTTAGACGCCAATTTATCCATCGCACCCCATATATATATATATATATATATTATGTGTAGCACATTTTGTATATTGTATATTTGTATATTGTATATATATATTGTATATGTATATATATATATATATATATATATATATATATATATATATATATATATATATATATTGTATGTGTAGCACATTTCTCCGTTAGAAGAAATAATAATTCTATAAAAAAAATTAATTCGTCAGTATTGAACTCATCCGGTGTCATAGAAGAAATCAAAATGAAAAAGCCTATTTATAAAAGATAGATTGTGTTATTATTTACTAAGGGTCACATAGGCAAAATTGTCACTAATATATGACGCCCAATAAGGACCAAAGTCACTACACAATATTAGTGGTCAATCAGATTAACTTTATCAGGAATATAATTTCAGTTAATGCTGTTTAACTCTTAAAGAGGACATGGAAGCTTAGCTTTGGCATTACACCATTATGACCTCGACCATTTGTTTTGAAAGGAAAAATTCATTATTCAAAATATCTGTTGACTTTCTGGACAACAGCCGTTGGTATTTGGCCGATGTGACAATGTTAAACATTTGATAGGAAAACAGATTTACTTAACCGGAAAAATTAAAGCTTTGGTTCGTGCATTTGGTGACATTAATTGTGAGTTCAATTTCTGGGCCGGGCAGTATGTCCTTAAACTCAGTGGGAACAGGGCGAGCAATAACTGGGCAGTACTAAAAAAAAAGAGCTAGACTAGATATAAAAACCTGACATGGGAAGTGTATATACACCTGATGAAGGCCCGAGTGCACAAAGGCTGAAACGTTGTGATAACAACAACGAAGATGAGGATAGTAATACGAAAGTAAACAGTGTAAATAATGAACAATATGGTTTTAAATTTAAACACCTGAATATTGTACATAATGGACCGGTGAAAATATGTCATTAAGCATTAGTTTCTACAAACCTTAAATCTCTCCATATAGTTATACGATTACATTGCTCAGCATACCAACTCGTGATGAAATAAAGAGATAAAATATTTGCTAATAAAGATTATTTAGCATGACACATTTTATGAAACATATGTGTGCAATCTGCCATTCCTTT